GAGTTTAATTGCAGCACTGAAAGGGTAGTTAAATTCATGTACATCACAACCCATCATAAGGAACTAACCTGATAGCGTGAGTACCGTCAAATAAACACAGACCGACCTTACTTTATGTGGGCCTGTATGCACGAACATAGAGCATTACCGTATTTGTATTTTCTGTTTCAGTTCCCTTTTTCCTTTCATTTTTCTATTATGTTTCATTTTTTTATTTTCTGTTTCTCTTATTTTCTCTTTACAAATATCTTCATCATATTAAGAAAATGTTCATTGTATATAATAAAATTGTTTAACATAGATTAAAAAATGTTCATTGTGTATTTAAAATTTGTTCACCATATATTATGAAATTATTTAAAGTAGCTTACAAATTTCTTTTATTTTCCTTTTGCTGCTTCTTTTTTTGTTTCTTTTATATTTTTCAAGTTTTTTTTAAGAGTTCATGTTTTGAAAATTGTTCTGAAACTTAAAAAAATGTTCGTGCTTTTAGAAAACATTCAATGTTTTTAAAAATGGTTGTGTTTTAAAAACTTGTTCATAAATTCAACTTTTTGTGCATTTTTCAAAAATTTCCACAAAATTTTTTGTTTTCAAAAATTGTTCGAAACTTTCTTGTTCAAATTTATCACAACTTTTCAAATTATGACCGGGATTGCACAAATTGTTCACAAATTCAAAAAATGTTCTTGTTTTCAAATTTCTGTTCACTTATTCAAAAAATGGTCGCCTTTGAAATTTGTTTTGGGATTTTCAGAATTGTTCTCAATTTTGAAATTTGTTCTAATAATTCAAAATATGTTTGTGATATAAAATTTTGTTCACAAATTCGAAAGTTTTTAATGTTTACAAAAAAGTTCGAAAATTCGCCTTTTTAAATTTTGTTCAAAAACGAAAAAAATAATTGTTTCAGAAAAAGTTCCGTTCCAAAAAAAATCTCAAATTCAAAAAATGTTCACATGATATAATTTTGTTCACAAATTGAAAATGTTTGATAATTTTGAAAAATATTCCTGATTACAAATTTTATTCACAAATTCCAAAAAAAAAAACGTTTTCGAAGTTTCTCATATATTTAAAAATTATTCAATTTTCAAATTGTTTAGAAATTCAATAAAATGTTAGCATTTTTAGTTTTTGTTCTCAAAAAAAAATGTATGCGTATTTCAATTTTTTTCCTGTTTTAAAAATTTGTCACATATTCAAAAAATGCTACACTTTTCAGTTTAATTCACAATTCAAAAAATGTTTATGTTTGCAAAATTAATTCACAAATTCAAAAGATGCTCTAGATTTGTAAAAAATAGTTTGAAATTGTGAAAAATGTTCACTTTTGTTGTTGTTTTTCATAAAATGTTTTGTGTTTAAAAGAAGTAGTTCATAAGTTCAAAAAATGTTCTCGTATTCAAATTTATTTTCCTATTTTATGTTCCCAAATATTGTTTGGGTTTCAAAAAGTTTTTCCTTTTATAAAATCATGTTTGAAATTTCTTAAAAAGTTTTAATCTACCACGTATAATAGATTATATGTACCTGGTTAGACACATAACCTTAGTTAGTGAGTGGTTATGGACATGTGTTCGACCCTTCGCCAACATGTTTTCTGGATTTTCCGGATCTGGTTTTACTTTTTACCGTTGTCGGTAGTTTCTTTTACATTTGCGCCGTAGATCTTTCGCAATAGGACGCCTGTCATAGTGACTAGCTCATAGCGAGCCTCTATAGCTGGTCACGGGTTCGCCTATCATTTTTGCTATATTTTCATCCCGTGAAGTAAAGCGAATGGGCTGGCCCAGGTAAGCCGCCTCTCGTGCGACCCAGGACTACTTGCTGCAATAAGCGGCATATATGAGCTCTCTGGATTTGACTCTTTCTTGTCACCTGCCGCTATACCTGACCATGGGCAGCCCGGCCCGGTCGGCCCAAAAATCCCGGGCCGGGCTAAGCCCGAGTGTGCCATTGGGCTGAGCTCGGGCCAGGAAACTGAGCCCGACGGATAACCGGGCCGGGCTTGGGCCTGCAAAAAACATGATTTTAGCCATAGACGGGCCGGGACGACTGAGCTGCGGCGGGTTTCTCAGGTTTGGGCTGGGCTTGGGCCTGATTTGGTAGGCCCGATGGCCGGGTTGGGCCGGGCTCAGGCCTAGGTTTTTAGCACCAGGCCTTTTTTTTGGCCCGGCTCGGTCCGAGATATGCCCAGGTGTATGCCCAGATGTGCCCAGGTATACCTGCCGCCGTCTTTCTTCTTCCGATTCGAGAGAAAAAGCCCATTTAGCCTCCTGATCAGAAATAAAAGACTACCGAATCCTAGTTATAAAGGAACTGTTCATCTTCATCCCGACCCTCTCTCTCCGCCGCGACCTAGACGAATCCTACTTATAACTAGAAGAACACCCGTGCGTTGCAACGGGGCCACATCAACTTTAAAAGTTCAATATTAATATTCTCATATATATCAAGTGACATTGGCGACCTTTTTTATCATCAATTCCTCACACACACTCTCTGCCTCCCTCTTCCTCACTCTCTCCCCCTCTCCCTCTCTCTCTCTCTCTAACACACACATATCCATCTTATTGGGTACGAGACCATAATCCATCTATTTCACACACACAAGCTAGTACATAACAATATGGATTATGTGTATTATATTTGCCACCATAACTGAGGGAATTAATTTCATGTAAATCGGCCAGCCACAGCTCCAAGAATACGCGGAGGAGGTGGCCCGGGTCGGCGTCGGCGCCGTCCGGCACGGGCCACGGGCCCGCTTCCAAGCGCGTCTGCGCGTCGGCCACCCACGCCGTGTCCTTCAAGTGCCACTTCCACCGCACCAACTCACAGGGTCACGGCCATGGCCAGGGCCAGGGAAGCCGCCCTTCTTTGCCCCCTTCACCGGCCGCGGCCAACGCGGTGCCGCGGCACCCGGCCTCGCCGTCCTCGTCCTCCAGCACCGTCGCGACCCAGTGACGCAGCCCAAGCATCGGCCTCGAGAATCAAGAACGCTCGACAACGTAGAGGGAAGGAAATATCATATACATGTCATAAGAAAGGGAGTTTATTTACTGCTCCCTCGATGTATTGTTTCCTTTGTTTGGAGATTGATTACCATACGTGAGTTAAGGTAAGGTTTACGTGATTGAGCGATTTTTTGAAAATCAATTATTTGTTTTCTAATTAATGTAACTGAGTGATTTAAGGTAAGGTTAATTAATTTAGATTTGATCTTTAGAGATTGTTCGTGATTGATTCTACATTACTAAATAACTTGCGCCAGTATGAAAAGTTCTGATCTGTTTAGATTTCTTTCGTTGTGTGAGAGGGTGACGCGAAAATAAACCGATGAAGTGAGGGGAGGGAACGAAAAAAATCTACGAAAAAAAACCAGCGAAGGTAGGAGGAGGTACAAAAAAAAACCATGGAAGGTGGGAGGAGACTACCAACTGTTTCATTAGGAGTAGAAATTATTAGAGATTAGAGATTATTTGTTTCCTGAAAATCTATTATTTGTTTCCTAAAGCAAATTACATTAATGAGAGAGATTTCGTAGATTTGGTTAAGGTAGGAAAGAATCTATTATTTGTTTGCTAAAGCAAATTGCATTAATGGGAGGGATCCGTTGATTTGGCTAAGGTAGGAAAGAATCTATTATTTGTTTGCTAAAGCAAATTGCATTAATAGAAAAGATCCGTTGATTTGGCTAAGGTAGGAAAGAATCCATTATTTGTTTCCTAAAGAAAATTGCATTAATGAGAGAGATTTGTTGATTTGGTTAAGGTAGGCGGTTTTTGCGGTTCGTGGCGGCTTAGTGTGAGGTGGGACGAGGTACCAAAAAAAACCATGAGAGATGGGACGAAAAAAACTTGGGAGGTGGGAGTTGTCCCTGGTTAACCTACGAAATTTCGTAGATTTTTTTAGGACGAAAAAAAACCGTGGAAGATGAGACTAAAAAAAATCTGGAAGCGAGACTACCAACTGCTCCCTTAGGAATAGAGATATTGGAGAGAAGCAGGGGCCCACCCTGTTGAGTCGACTACCGCCAGAGTACTCTGTTTCGCCTTTTGGTTTTTGAGCTGTGCTCTATGTTCTATCTACAAACCCTAGGTGAATACGTGGGGCGCATCTGCTCGGACGCAGACTGTCAGATAGATACTCGGTCTCTCGGCGGCCTGAAAGCTGTTTGGGGGCTTTGGGCGCGCTAGAATCTGGGCGACAGTTTGTTGTGATCTTGCCCTCCGGAAGAGCTAGGCGGTGGGCAAGGGGGCGATCGAGCGGTGGTGGCTGGTGGGCGAGGTTGTGTCGGTAAGCCCTGCGACTCTATTTTCACGTTATTATGGAGTATAATTGATCATATATATGGGTTGATGAACCCCCAAGCTGTCCTGATTGATAAGGTTAATCATGATGGGCTTCCCTCAAAAATAAAAATAAAAACGAACATATATATTTGAGACTTAAAATAAAGTGAAGGTTATGATATGATATGTCGAATTGTAATTATTGAGTTTCTATTTTCTTGCATCTTATGCTGTTATATGTAATGGTAAGAACTTACAATCTTACATTACATGACAGTATCTTTTTACACTGAGCATATAAAGAAATACTCCCTCCGTCCCAAAATAAGTGTCTCAACCTTAGTACAACTTTGTACTAGAGTTAGTACAAAGTGGAGACACTTATTTTGGGACGGAGGGAGTAACTTACAGTCCGGCTTAAGTGGAGGTTATGATATGAAAAAAATATTATCTTGTCTGAAAAGAACGAAATTTCTCTTCTCCCCCTTTTGTACCAGGCAGTTATATCTGCAGTGAATGATATTTTCATGCAATGGTCATTTCCCCTATTCAATTTTAGCCTGTTCTCAGTTATTATATGCTGCATTCTTTCAAGTTTAACTTGGCACACTTTGCTCTTGACCTTGCAATATCTCTCTTGCTGCTTAATTCTTTATTTTGACCTTCTTACATATACTTTATGCGTCTCTTTGGAGACTAGCCATGGTGAGAAAGAATAAAAACCGTCACTCAAGTGGTGGTCGCGGAGGCAGGATAGGTTCTGGGCCATCAAGTACAGTCTCATGCTCGATTCCTGAACTCCAAAAATTTGTTCCCGGCGAAAGCTTAAAGCGCCCTGGATTCGTTTCTGCTGGTGAAAGCTATATTGTGAAGGCAAACCATTTTAAACTAACTTATAATGAAACTCTTTGCCGATATCATGTAAGACGGCTTTCATGACAACTTTGTCATATTGTATGATTTATTTTTTAACATCACAACTCTAATTTGTTTGTACTATCTTACAGGTATTAATAGATCCTAAGCCTACTTCAGCTGGTGATGTCATGATACAACTTGCAAAGCTGTATGGGCAATCACGTTTGGGTGGTCGTCTTCCTGCATATGATGGAAAGAAAAGCTTATATACATCTCGTCCATTTCCATTTACTTGTGAGGCTTTTAAAGTAACACTACCTGACCAGGAAAATATTCTTTGTGGCCTCCCAAGGTAATACTACCAGAGGGGTATGATATTCTGGACATATCAATAACCCTGATCTAATTAATGTTGCTTACTGATGTTGCTGCTCCCTCAAGGGGTAAGAGACATTTTAGGGTCCAGATAACATTGGATAAAGTTTTGTTCGGACGAATTGATGGTGAAGAATTCTATCAAGCATTTAATACTATTCTACGTGAATTGTTCCTTGGAAGGTTATATTTTTTCTCACCAATCTCTTTCAGCGTCATTATTTTTGTTGATTGCTAAAAAGGCTTCCTGTCTTCATCTGTAGGTATTGCCTAGTTGGCCGGTCATTTTATAAATCTCAACCTGGCGAGGGCTTGAAAAACTGCTGTGGTTTTTATCAGACAATACAAAACACACAGATGGGAATTTCATTAAATATCGGTTAGATCCCAATCACGACCTTGGTGTTTCATACTCCAGCTCCGTGAAGAGAAAATTTCTCTCACAAAAGTATTGCCATATTGTAATGCTTGTATGCAGAATGAGTTGCAGTAGGTAAACTATGCAGCCAGTCCTTGCTTTGGTTGAGCAGAGCTGAAGTGGTTGGCTACTGATAATACCATTGGCTTCCTTGAAGTAATATATTAACAACAACAAATAAGAAGAAAACTGTTCAAGAAAAAAACCATGTAGAAAAATCTTTCCATCTTCGACTATTAAGAATGTATGTGAGATCATGCCATTTGTACTGTAGTACTGGGCATCCATGCAGCTGCAAGAGAATGAATGGTAGTTTACTGTCATGGTACTGGTACAAGAGCTATCAATGCAGTGGGAGCACACAACTTCAAGATAAGGAATGGTAGTTTACAATGATGATACATAGATAATAGATGGCACCAATCAGACTTGATTCTGGACTAGGATCCATGCAGCTGCAACATAATGAATAGTGTAGGTCATGGTACATAGAGGGCATCATTCATACAATCATACTAGGCAGTTGGCACTTTGAATATTATCTATTGGCTTTAATGTTTCTTCCACACTTGCTATGCATGTTAAGTTCGAAAGAATACGTAATCATTCTGTTTATAAGTCGGGCATTATGGGATTGCAAGGTAGGCTATGAAATTGCCTCTGTTCATACCTCGCATCTGAAGGTACCTTGACATTTCTCTCTTGCAGATATATCCTGTAAACCATTCATCAATCCTCTACCTGTGATCAATTTAGTTGCACTGCTTCTGAACAGGGACATATCAGATGACCCCTTTGACTTTTGTGAACGGTTGAAGGTGTGTTCTTGTGTTATCATTGATTATAACTTACATTATGATTTTTTAGTAGTACTTCCAACTTTGTGCTAACGGCTGAAGGTCGTGTTCTTGTGTTATCATTGATTATAACTTACACTATGATGTTTTAGCAGTACTTCCAACTTTGTGCTAACTTCCCTAGTAATATAGATAAAAAAAGTTCCTTACTAATAAGTTTGCCCCTCGCTCATGGACAGGTAAGTAAAGATCTGTGTGATGTAGAAGTTAATTTCACACTTGAAAAAAATGCGGACAAGAAATATCGTATAACTGGCCTTACGTCACAAGGGTCAAGCCAACTACCGTATGTAGTTCAAGCACTCATATATGAAGCTTCTCTTATGTCTGGTAACATTGTTTGACTGGTTTTTCTCGTGATAGTTGCCCATGTGATGATAGTGGTACTGGGAAGACAGTATTAGAGTACTTCAAGGAAACATATCGATGTACTATTCGGTCTCGTGTACCATGTTTGAAAGTTCGTGATCAAGAGAAGCCAACAACTTACCTACCAATGGAGGTCAGTATACTAAAAATCTGCTACGGATATTTTTTGCGCCATACTTGCATTATTCAGTACTATTATAAATGCTATCTACACTTCATCATATTACAATCTGCTTTGCAATACTTTGAAAATTTAGGTCTGTGAGATTTCTGACGCAAAACAGATATCGTATCTTCTTAGTGTCGCTTGCCAGCACCCTATGGACCGTGAGAAGACCATTTTACAGGTAACACACAGTTGCACGGCGGTGTGCAGTTTAACATTTGCATGCCTGTTTTTATGTCTTTCTTTTTTTCTTCCTTCACATGACTTATTTAAGCAATGGCTCCGTACCTCAACAACAACAACAACAACAACAAAGCCTTTAGTCCCAAACAAGTTGGGGTAGTGATGTAGGGTGGAACCCTATGATGTCGATCTTTCACGATTTGGAGGGGAAAGGGGGAAGAACACGAAGAACACAAAGAGGCAAATCACTCAAATAGACGAGATGCAATCACACATGTGCTAGATCCACATACATGCGGAGAGATACACGATCCAAAGTCAACAAAGAACGATACAAACGTTAGCTAGTTCATCCCATGAAGGGGTCTCGAATCCTAGAAGGATCTTCTCATGAAGGGGTTTTGAATCCACTTGGGGGATCTTCTCACATGGAGGTCTTGGTTTCCATGGGAGTAGGGATAAGTGGATGAGCAAAGCTCTGTCTCAATGAGCTAATCCTTTGCTAACCCTAGATGGTGGAGGAGGAGGTCTATGTATAGGGGTAGTCCACAAGGTAGGAGGGGAAAGGAAAGATACATGGGCCTTTGGCCCGTTCTCTGCGCACAGGCACGTGCAGGATGTCCGGGCCTTCAAGTCGGGCTGGATGTCCGGGCTGGCTTCGGCCGATTCTGGACGCTCTATTTCCGGGCAGGGGCCGGATGTCCGGGCCTGGGCCAGATGTCCGGTGCCTGTAGGGGTTCGGCTTCCGGGCGGTTGCCGTGGCTGAGGCTTCCAGGGGCCGGATGCCCGGGTCCTGGGAGCTGTCTCCGATTCCTCTCGACGTGCTCCTTCGTCTAAGGATGGCATTTTACCTACGCGTGCGGGTACCTATGGATACCGTACCCGCATGGGCAGGGTATGGGCACAATTTTATGCCCATGGGTAGTACCCATACCCTACCTGTTATGTCATGGGTAGGGCATTGGTATAGCCTTTTACCCATGGATATACCCATACCCTACCTGTTTATACTGACATGTGGATCTTACCCGTGATTCACGAGTGTACCTCTGGTAAAGTTATGTCATGAGCTTGTGATAAAGTTGTCACCAATTCAATTTTAATCGAGATAATTGTCATGTACTCATCTATCTGTTATTGAGTTGAGATGAATGTTTTTTTTCAAATGTGTTATAGATGAATGTAAAATTGCGAATAACGTGTGTACCTTTTGATCTAACCCGTTGGGTACCCAATGGCTATGGGTACCCGTCGGGTATGGGTAGAATTTTGTACCCATTAACTACACGGGCATGGGCATGGTATTGCTCTACCCGTCCCATACCCTACGGGTATGGCTTCGTCCATGTACTTGAGGGCTTGTCCATCATCCTGAGCATCTCCGAGGTGGTCTTCTTCATACCTAATCACACATAGCATTCCGGCTTTAGGTAGTAGCCATGTCTCACCTGGGTCATATGGAATATCACCTCGGTCTCAAGAGCTCTTGCATGTGCTTGTGTCATCGGTCCACTTGGCACTTGGTGAGACGTAGGTAGGTCCATGGGGACGACCATAGGATGCTCCGCATCAGGTAGGCTAGAGGTGAAACCCATAAACCTAGCTGTTGAACATGTCGTCTTTTAGTCGGCCAACACTCAGCGCCGTACAACATTGCGGGTCGAACCGCCGTCCTGTAGAACTTGCCTCTTAGCTTTTGTGG